AAAAGATCACGTCTTCGATAGTTCTTATCACGATCTATAATCCCTGAAAGTTCCACAGTGATATCTTTAACCGTTCTTTAGATTATCCACGAACAAAATGTCAATTTAAAATCAGAAAATTGTCCGTAACTTGGCACCAGAAAGAAAATTTCCAAAAAATCTCCAGGATATAGTAACTGCAGATAGCAACACATTGTTCCTGCAAATTTCATAAAAATCCATGCAGTAGTCTTCGAGAAATCACGTGCACAAAATTTGATGGTCAGAAATATTATAATTATAATTAGCTCAGGCGAGTTTCAACGCCTTTTGCACTGGAAAGATATAGACTCAAAAAAGCAATTTAGCAATCCTTCCTCTACCTTCACTGAAAATTTCAAGTCAATAACTTCATTCGTTTTTTAGTGATTGCCCGGACAAGCTGACCCTCTTAAAATCAGTAAATCGTCCATATCTCACGACCGGAAGTGACGACGTACTTATAAAAAATTTCCAATAAGGTTCAGACCAATATCTATAAGATCTGAAAGTTTCGTGAAAATGGACCAAGCCGTTTCCGAGAACTCGCTTGCACAAAAATCGGTAAGAAAAAAATAATAATAATAATAATAGGGAAAAAGAAACCGAACGAAAACAATAAGGTCTTCCGTTGGAAACGGAAGACCTTAACTAGATACGATCTTGTTGCGAGCAACGAGTGGGTCTTCCGTCCAATTCTTGATGAGACGAGATAAGATTTTGATTGAGATTTTCATTCTAAAATAATGATTTTCCACAATCTGTAAAAAGACAATGAACATTAAAGACTTAAAAAATCGGCTTTTGGTCCCTAACGGCCCCTAATTTTAGGAATTGGCCCTTTTAATTCTTATCATCTTAAAGCTCTATGGATTTTGATGCTTTTTGTTCAACAACTGTTCAGAAATTCTTTTCGTGTTTGAGCTATTAGCAAAAGAAATATTTAGGGGCCAACCCTTCAACTCCTTAATTGGGACGTTTAGCAAAAAATGAAAGGTTGCATATTGTTCAAAACATAATTTTGAACATCTTTTGTTCAATATTCTTATCAAATATTTCTCCCTTTCGAGATATAAAGCGTCAAAGATTTAGCATTCTGGCCCCTTGTGGCCCCTAATTATGTATACAACATAAAAATCATAATATATAGTTGTAGATGGTTGAGATAAACATCTTTGCTTCAATAATGTATTATAAAATATTAACTGATAAAGAGTTACAATTGAAGACTTTTGGCCCCTCTTGGCCCCTAATTTGAGTGCCCAGCCCCTTCGTCTTGATTCCATCTTAAAGCTCTTAGGATTTTGCACACTTTTTGTTCAACAATTATTCAGAGATTCTTTTTCGTTTTCGAGTTATTTGCAAAAGAAATATTTAGAGGCCAACCCTTCAACTCCCTAACGGGGACCTTTAGCGGAAAATGAAATGTTGCATATTGTTTAGAACATTATTTTGAACATCTTTTGTTCAATATTACATATCAAAATAGTTATCTCTTTCGAGATATAAAGCGTCGAAGATTTAGCATTCTGGCCCCATGTGACCCCTAATTATGTACCATACGACATTAAACTCATAATATACAGTTGTAGATTGTTGAGATTAACACTTTTGCTTCAGTAATGTATAACAAAATATTGACTGTTAAATAGTTATCGAAAAAAAACTTTTAGCCCCTTTTGGCCCCTAATTTGAATGCCCAGCCCCTTTTTCTGGATTTCATCTTGAAGCTCTGGGGATTTTGCACACTTTTTGTTCAATTACAATTCAGAGATTCTTTTTCGTTTTCGAGTTATTTGCAATGGAAATATTTAGGGGCCAACCCTTCAACTCCCTAATGGGGACATTAAGCGAAAAATGAAAGGTCGCATATTGTTTAGAACATGATTTTAAACATCTTTTGTTCTATATAAGTTATAAAAATATTTCTCCCTTTCGAGATATAAAGCTTCAAAGATTTAGCATTCTGGCCCCTTGTAGCCCCTAATTATGTAATATACGATATAAAAATCATAATATATAGTTGAAAATTGTTGAGATAAACACTTTTGCTTCACTAATGTATAACAAATTATTGACTGCTTAAAAGTTATTGGTTAAAGACTTTTGGTCCCTTTCAGCCCTTAATGTGATAAGTCAGCACTTTTTTTCTTGATATCATATGAAAGATCTTGTAGTTCTGCACAAATATTGCTCAGTATGTTTTAACAAGATAATTATACTTTAAAAGATACAATGCAAAATGTCCCAAAAAAATCACTCATGATTCGTGTCCTAATTTTTGACCCCTACCGAGCTTCCATACTAGGCACTTCCAGAAAATATCCTGACCCAGGTGCAATATGGCAACATGTCCTCTATCATCCCTGAAAATTTCAACTTTCTAGCTTGAACCGTTTTTGAGTTCCATTACAGACAAGGAGGTCCTCTTAATTTCGTTCAAAGGGCGATAACTTCCGACCGGAAGTGAATATTCCTAAAATAATTTTCCGGAATTAACTTCAGATGTCAATACATCTTCCCTGAAAATTTGAAGCAAATTGGATGAGACATCTCTGAGAAATCTTCTGCACAAATTTTGTAAAGAAAAAAAAGGAAGAATAATAAGAAAAGTGAAAAAGAAACAATAGAATAATAGAAGGGTCTTCCGCTGAAGACGGAAGACCCTAATAAGAAACAGTAGAATCACTATAAGGTCTTCCGTGAAGACGGAAGACCTTAACTAGAGCAAAGCTCGTTGCAAAGCAACGAGTAGGTCTTCCGTCCTGTTTGACCGGAAGTAGCTTTCATTTTTAACAAAAATGAGAAATAACGCCCGAAAATGCTTTGAATAAGCCATTTTTGCTACTTCCGGTTAGACCGGAAGTAATTACGACGGCCGGAAAATTAATATTCAAGCTCCAAAAGACATAGGTTACCCAAAAACTTGTCAAGAACGGCAAAAAAACTTTGCTTCTTTGATGTATTACTAATTCTCAATACTTTTTGAGATATATAGGAAAAACTTTCAGCCCCCCTAGGCCCTTGATATTAGGGGCCAGCCCTTTTTTGGAGATATCAATTGAAACATCTTCAAATTCTACACTTCTTTTGTTCTATATGTTTTAACAAAATATTTTCAGGTAAAAAGATATCGTAGAAAAGGTGGTAAAAATTTTAAAATTCGCGATACGACTTTTTTCGGGCCATAGCGAGCGCCGAAGTGCGGCACTTGGTAAAAATTAAACTTCTTAGTACAAATAAACCTTCCTTGCTCTATCATCACTGAAAATCTCATGTTCCTGTGCTAAGTGCTTTTCCAAGAAGTGCTGCGGACAAAATTACCCTCTGAAATCACTAAATCTCGAAAATCTCTAAACCAGAAGTGACGTCATCAAAATAAAAAATTATATTTCTAGCATTTTTTATTCTCTACCTGGCCTGAAAGTTTCATGAAAATCATTCGAGCCGTTTTCGAGAAATCGCGTGCACAAAATCGTTAGGAAAAAACAAACAATAATAAAAATAGTGGAAAAGAAACCTAAGAATAACAGAAAGGTCTTCCGCTGAAGACGGAAGACTTTAATAAGAAACAGAGTAAAAACAATATGCTCCCCAACTTCGTTTGGGGAACATAATAATGATTTTTTTCACAGATCATATTCAAGAAGACAATATCTTTAAGTGATGTCATCAATGACATTATATTTGACTGTTTTATTAAATGTCAGTGACATAGATAGATAGATAGATAGATAGATAGATAGATATTTATTTGGTATACTACACATACGTTGCAATATTCACAATATAATTTAAGATATATATATATAAAAGATGGCATTAAACAATATAATTGATATAAAATATCGGAATCAATCATTTTTAAAAGACATGAATTTATAAATATGATTCACATAAGATTATATTTGTATACCAAGGATAACCCATGAAAGCCAATGGCTTATTTCCAATGGGGTCCTTATACTCAAACATGTATATTAATTGGATGTTAATTAATATAAGGAGATAAATATAAATTGACATGTCAAGATCATTATCTTTTCCTTTTCATTAAGAATCAAAAACTCTTGCTCCATTAAAAAAATATAATAATGTTATGTTTATTTTCTTCTCTTCAAAAATTAAGGCTAAGATAATAGTGCGTTTATTTGTGTTAAAGAATGCAATCTCTTATTTACCTATTACATATTTTGACATTTTACTTTTGAATAATATTTTTTCTCTCACATCAATAAAGATAAGCTAGTTCAGAGGACAATGAAAATTTATTTACATGTAGTTGGTTATACAGTGAAAAAAACATTTAAGTAATTAAATACTCTGTTAATGAAGGAATTTGGTGGCGATCATTACTGAATACAATAATTTTCCTGTACAAATGTTGTTTTTCATTATCCTGGTTTAAATTTATATCGGTATTAATCATTCACAAACTAGTACAATAAATGAAGTGCTTAACAATGAAAACAATTAATTCATCACTTTGTTACAAGAGTCTTAAAAACAAATTACCTTCGATTTTAGCTTTAAAATATTTGACACAGAATATATGTACTTTAAAAAACCTAATATTATTACAAAAATTAGTTATTTTTATTCTGTAACCTTTGACATGGGCAACCACTGTATTCTGTTAAATCCAATCACTTGAATTCCATACGAATTTTAACACTGGTTGATGTATATCTATGTGTGTAACAAAGAAAATCATTATGACTTTACAAAATACTTGTTTTCTTTATAGCTTTTGATAATGAATTTCTGGCTTTGCATTCTCCAAATAATGTTAATTTTATTTTCAACAAAAACTAACCTTAATCATAGATCTCCAATTAATTCTTATTTAAAATTTTATTTTACCAGGACTTATGATTATATTTTTTACTCTCCATTGAATTATACGTTTGAAAGATGTTGAACAAATAGGAATTTTAATGAAATTAATAATACATTTTTTTTTTTACTTTTTTAATGAATAGAAAAAATATATAAAGATTGTTCAGACATTGTGAAAAGAGACCCAGACAAGATTGAACAAGATGGAGTGTATGTTATTTACGCTGACACATGGAGAGAGGTCTTCTGTGACATGACGACAGATGGAGGAGGGTGGACGGTGAGTAGTGTGTTTTATTGTCAATGTTATTCATCGACAACACCTGGAGATATGTCTACTGTGATATGAAGACAGATGGAGGGGGTGGACGCTGAGTAGTGTCTTTTATTGTCAGTTATACACTGGCAACACCTGGAGAGAGGTCTTCTGTGACATGTAGAAAGATGGAGGAAGATGGACGGTGAGTAGTGTGTTTTATTATCAATGTTGTACATCGACAACACCTGAAGATAGGTTTACTGTGACCTGACGACAGATGGAGGAGGATGGACGGTGTGTAGCGTTTTGAATGAAATGTTCTTTTATTGGTGATGACTAGAATATGAAAATGAACATAAAAACAATAAATAAATACTGAATCTTCAAGATCCTGATCATTGAGCTTGTTAAAATAAACGTCTGCATATTTTCATTTTCTGCCAAATGAACTCAATCCACTTCAGTTAGCTGAACAAAACAACAATGTGACAAATTGCTAATTTATAATTAGTTTGTCCAAAACAAATCAAAGATACTTATTCTTATCACCCAGTGACTCTAGATAACCAAAGAATAGCGAAAACCAGATATTCCTCCACACCGCAGCAAATTAATAGGATAGAAAAATGTAATGATCAATTTATTTCTTTTTTATTTTTATGACAAGTACCAATTAAGTAAATAAATGAATGCTGTTTACAGACTTTTCAGAAAAGACAAGACGGCGACTTGGATTTTTACCGAACATGGAACGAATATAAAGAGGGGTTTGGGAATGCCTCTAAAAACTACTGGTTAGGTACGTATGGGACATCTAAACCTCTACTGTTAATGCAGTCTAACATGTAACAAAAAATATAATATTTGTCGTCCACACTTCTTTTCTTTAAACATGTTAACTCAATGATAAATTGTATTTGCTGACAAGGCCATTGATCAAAGAACTTAGGAAACAATGACTTTAGAACAAGACTGCTAAATTCTTGTTTCATCAACTTGTTTGTTAATAACTAGTATTTACCTTGTTTTAGAAATTATCCATGCGTAGAGCATTCTCTTGCGTATCGAATCAACTGAGATATATACACTCCGTATGTAGATGATGAAGGTATATTGCTGATTAAGTAAGGAAAGTTGAGGATGGAAAAGTTAAAGTCATCACGTTTATCATAGAGCATGGTTGTTTGATTTCCATTAACGTCTTTTTCAAGTAAAATATCCCAAGTATGAATCTGATGTGTCAGACTCTGTGGTATCTTTTATCTCAAGATCACCAGGATATATCGTATTGACATGGGAATGGAAATAACCATTGTTAATTGACAATACGTCGTCAATATATATAAATAAATGTCGAGTTGAAGGCCACAGCAAGTATTTTCCTCTTTTCACGCATACGATTTTGCACGAATTCTGCTTCCTATGAATATAAAAATAGGTCTGCTAATAACAGGAAAAATAATAGGAAAAATATTCTTTAGAGTGAAATTGTTTTTTTTCCGTTGGTTAATATACATGGTCATACAGCTTATACGTTATTTTATGATTATCTCCAAGGTGTTTTATAAAACTACTCTATGCATTTCAAGTAAAATTGAACAGTAAACAATCTCACATTACCAGAAATTTTACAACGCGCTTAGTTGAATGATAGGGAAAAATAGTCTGTTTAGTAATAGAATATTAATTTTGTCTACATGTCAAAAAAGCACAAAAATTCGGTACCATAACGTTATGTGCCTGTTTTCCCCGTTTTTAAGGAAATGACGCAATTTATGAGTTGACAAAGAACAAGGACCAGGAACTTCGGGTTGAGCTACAAAGATTTAATGGCGAAAAAGCATACGCTCAGTACTCCACATTTTATCTTCGAGACGAAGACAATAAATACAAACTCACTGTGTCGGGGTACAGTGCTGCTATCCCACAAGTTGACATGGGATAGGATCGGATAGGATTCAGGATTGAGAAACATATAGAAGTTAATCCAATCCTATCCTATCCTATCCTATCCTGTATCCTACAGCCAATCAGATTCGAGCAAAGGTTTATTCATATTTCAGAATAAATTACAAAAACGAAATACGATATAAAATGTTTACAAAAGAAATATTTATAAATTTTTCAATAGAAAATAAAACATTCTTTTCTCTAAACACATATTTACATTATAAACTTCGAGTAACACGACGTACGATCTAACCGTGAACGATCACCGGAAGGTGGCAGAGGATAGTTTCGAATAAAGTACCGGTCAAAAAATAGAAGAAATAGAGAAACCTGAGGTTTGAATGCATATTATAGGTAATTTTATAGCTAGAATATTTTATGGGTGCATTTGGAGGGAATTGGTGGCCTTGTATGTTTTATTGAAATATGACACTTTAGTGTCACTACTACTGTACATGGGATATGGACTAGAAATACGAAACTAAGCTCAAAACTCGCTCTACCGGTATTTCACCAGAAAAGCGGGGTGGGTTCACAGGATGAATTGTAGCTTGAAAACAAGGTGGTTGAGCCATTATCTCTTGCTGTTCATTGGTATGTACAAATGTTATTCTGCAATTTGTGTGGTAGCTTAGGTCAGGCGCACGGGCCTGGAAGCAGATGCGGCTGCGGCGAAATAGTGAAAATAGGCTTGATTCACATGAAATTTTGAGATTGTCCCTGTGCCATCTTTAGAGCTCATTGTGTAAGTTGTACATGTTTTATTCCTAAAAGCTTCAAATTTCTCAAGGGACTACATCATACTATTATTACATGTAGAGGGAATTTAAAATTTTTCAATGCACATTTTTAAAGCAGCTCAATATTAGGTAAACCGTCAGTCAAACGTTTTGATTGCAAAAAAAACTATCCTCTGCCACCTTCAAGAATGCATCAATTTTTAGAAATGTGAATTTTAGTCTGATTTTTATACAAAAGGGTTTATTTATGTAAGTCAATTTAAAAAAATACTTTGTTTCTGTTATTTAAAATCTGTACAGTTAGGTATATTCACTAAAAAGCAAGGGGGGTTACTCTTTTCCAGCATACATTTTTAAAGACTTTGAACCATCAGCATAATAAATCATATAAGATTCAGGCATTTTTTGCCAGAGAATAAATTAATTGTTTGTATTTGATACTTTGGGTATTGTCGCATAATTAAAATCATGTCTTGCTTTAATTAATTAAATCTAATCAAAATTTAAGTGTATTAATTAGTGCGATATCACTGAAATTACATATATTTGCCATTTTTTCAACCTAATTTACTAAATATAATTATTTTGAAAATAAAAATCAGTCAGCATACCTAAATGTCACTAAACCTAACCATATATAGCACAAAAAAAACTTTTTTTGCTTTATTTTTCCAAATTTAACCTATTCTGTTATTGATATTTTCATGAAATATGCCCCCCCCCCCTTTTCAATTTTTAAATTTATCTATATTTAAATGTGACAGAATCTAAATTTTTCAATGGTTTGCTATTAAATGCCTATTTTTCTTTGAATAATAACAAAACAAAGAGTTTATATTGCATATTTAATGAAGTAATATCAATAAAATGTGCATTCTCATGTAATTATTGATTTCTGCTAGGCCCATATAATCTGCCCACAATTGCCCAGGATGGACAGAATAATCACTTTTAGTATTCAGGAGAATGAAATGTATGTATTTGATTACTCATAACTGTTAAAAGTAAATATCAGACACTTAGAAAGATTTCAGCTAGGAAAAACAAATTTTTACAGTGCATTTTCATTACACTGAAGAAATGGCTGCAGGGGTAGGGTGTTGAACAGCCATTTCCTGGACACTTTTTCTTTAGCACATGATGCAAGAGGGTTTTTTGCATATCATGATAAATATTTTGAAAGTTGAAAGGGGTTTTAACTTTGCAAAGAAGTTATAGGTATATAAAACCAAGTGAACAAGAGATAAAATGGAATTTCATAGAACATGAAAAGTAGGGGAGTATGTGATACATGTGAGTACATTTCACCAAGATGTGCCCTTTATATTTGACTTTTTACATATAAATGTATTTTGAAATAGATTAAAATTACCATTTAACACTTTTTTGCTGGTATATTTGTCATCTGGAGTTGTAAGAATTGCATTTGTTTTATGTGTAAGAAACAATATGGGGTTAAGGTGGTTGACCGAGAATTGGTGAGGTCTCTTATTTGGCCATAACTTTTTTATTTTTCAATGAATCAAGACATATTTGGTATATTTTTACTCAGAATTGCATGTTCTTTTTGAATTGAGCAAGGTTTATTACTTGCAAGACAAACTTTGAAAGTTAAAGGTGGCAGAGGATAGTTTCGAATAAAGTACCGGTCAAAAAATAGAAGAAATAGAGAAACCTGAGGTTTGAATGCATATTATAGGTAATTTTATAGCTAGAATATTTTATGGGTGCATTTGGAGGGAATTGGTGGCCTTGTATGTTTTATTGAAATATGACACTTTAGTGTCACTACTACTGTACATGGGATATGGACTAGAAATACGAAACTAAGCTCAAAACTCGCTCTACCGGTATTTCACCAGAAAAGCGGGGTGGGTTCACAGGATGAATAGTAGCTTGAAAACAAGGTGGTTGAGCCATTATCTCTTGCTGTTCATTGGTATGTACAAATGTTATTCTGCAATTTGTGTGGTAGCTTAGGTCAGGCGCACGGGCCTGGAAGCAGATGCGGCTGCGGCGAAATAGTGAAAATAGGCTTGATTCACATGAAATTTTGAGATTGTCCCTGTGCCATCTTTAGAGCTCATTGTGTAAGTTGTACATGTTTTATTCCTAAAAGCTTCAAATTTCTCAAGGGACTACATCATACTATTATTACATGTAGAGGGAATTTAAAATTTTTCAATGCACATTTTTAAAGCAGCTCAATATTAGGTAAACCGTCAGTCAAACGTTTTGATTGCAAAAAAAACTATCCTCTGCCACCGAAGAATTGGGAATGTAAACAACGAGGAGCCAAGGCATCGAAAGACCGTATTTCTTCAGCTTGCTTGGATGATTTAACCGATTCTTACTTGTGTAAAAGTGTGATGACATGTTTTTCTGTTAAATATGCTCTGTTTGTTTGGATAATTCCACAGAAACCGTCAACAACGGACTTGAATAGATGATTTGCGATATCATGTAAGTATACTTCACACTGTACTCTGTACATGTGTGCATTTTTATACATATTTATCCCTTTAAACAATGTTCTTATGTCTTAAACTATAAACATTTTAGTAGTGTAGACAGAAGCGGGTGGGGGGGGGGGGGGAGGTAATATTTTCAAATACTGTGTCATATGATTCAATCAGCTATCAATAAGCTCTAAGACTAAAACAATCATATGTATTATGCCTAAATCAGGTTGTTACTCTCATCATTTTCCTATAAAGGTCAGAAAATAGTTTGTTTTTTTTCATTTCTGTGTAATTAATAATAAATGAATGTAGAATCACCATGACCATTTCTAATGCTTCTGCTTAAATGTTTAATGAGCTCACTCAGCAGTGCACTTACATATTGTACATGTATGTATGATGTATTGTGAGTTATGAAACATAAGTTAATCTTTTCATTTTTATCATTACAGTAAATGGATTGTCTGCACTCATGCGTCATCGCAGTACGAGGATTTCAACCTAAAAAGTATGTATGATTTTATTTTCATCATGTATTTTCACATGGTCATTAAAATACATAAACATCATTATCTGAGTTGACGTGACATGTCTGCAGTTACTCGGAACAAGTGATTTTCTTCTTTCAAAAATATTGAGAGTAAAACTGAAAGAAATGTTGAATTTTTCTGGTCATCATGTTGGAGTATCATAGATTTTCATATTCAAATTTCAAGACCCAAAAAAAAAAACCAAGAAAAAACATTAAATAGATAAATACAAGCAGAAAATAAAGAAAAGTCACTAAAACAAATGTATTCATACTTGTAAGCAAGTTGACAAGATAAAATGAATTATAATGTAGAAGTAAATTAAATGTTAAATAAGATTTTTTTTTATTTATTTTCTTATGACTGAGGTTGCAGTATAAGATTTTATTTTTCATGATTTCTAAATGCATTACTTTTGAGAGAGAAAAAGGTGAAATTAAAACCAATTGTACATGAAATGTGAAAGATAGTCACAATCAAAAACATTTTAAACATTTTAAATGTGTATGAAATGTGTATGACAAAATTTACAATCAACATGCCTATAATTTCATTTTATGTTTTTTTTTCAGGAAACCCTGCACATTTGCAGCTGTACAGAATGCAGTTCATGCCATATGCTGTAAGAGTAAATGATGAAAGATGTTCAAACCAGTGTCACGGAGTCCTAAGTCTGAAATCATGGTGTTTTTATTAAGGAGATCAGTGTGTTTTCTGTGCATTGTTGACATTTGAAGAACTGTTCGGTTTATGACCATCTCTGACAATAACTCTGACATTTGAATTTCAAATTGAGCGTCGTCGGATAAGAAAACCAAATTATATGCATGTAAAACATTATACAAGTGTAATAAAAACATTGATAAACCTAAATTTAAACAAAGTTCATGTACATGTATCTGTGATCTTTGCATTGAAATTCATAAATGCTGTACATGGATACTATTAATGACTTTGTCTCATGGTAATGGAATATTCAATTGTTAAACATTGTTTAGGAATCACCTTGAATAAAAATATTGTGAACTTGATAAAGTATTTTTCCTCATTTAAACACTGAAAATTTTATGATCAAATGTCAAGGTCAAATACAAAGCTTACTCAAGAATGTGTTATAAAGGCTGTAAGTACTGTGAATTCTTATGCATCTTTTATAAGATCTTTAAGGAACATGCATGGAGCATTTTAATATTTCTCAATCTGACACTGATTAACATTCAAGATCAAATGCCAAGGTCAAATATAAACTTGTTTTACTCAAGAATGAGTTATACATGTTAATAATGTGAATTCTGAATTTCTCATGAATGTTTTATAAGATCTTAGAAACATGTGTGACCTCACTACAATATTTATTAATGTCAATCTGTCAACCAATATCAAATTTAGAAAATATATTCTATTAAACATGAATTATTAAATTTTTACACACAAAAAAAAATTGAAAATTGAAATACATTTGTACGGTGGTGAGCTTACCATAAACTGAGCAAAAACTGAAGTGAAATGAAAAAAATTAACAATTAGATTATCTTGAATTTAGCAACTATATGTTTTGCATGTTTGAAAAATATCACATACAATAGATAATGAACTGAAATTTAAAAAAAAGAATAAATTATGAATTTAAATAAAAAAAACTACAATTAATATTGATATTATAAGACAATTTCACATTTACAATGTTTATTATCTGAAAGTCAAGATATTCTAGATCTACATTTGACTTGTCTGTTTGGTTTATGGTCTAGTCATATCTTTTTTTTCAGAACTGCATACAGAAAAACCTGTTACACAGGCACAGTTAGACTTGATCTATACATGTACATGCATGTTATTTTCATGGTGCTCAGTTTAGGAAAAAATAAAATTTTACATGGAACATATAGTTACTTAAACATTATTACCATATAGGCATATGCTTTTTAAAAATAATTAAATATTACACGTCGGACGCAAGTCGCGATCCCGGGTCTCACGATCATTGTTAGTAAGAAATTTAAAACACTAAGTATATTTTTCTTTAATTCTTCTGGTAGGCCAATTTCTTTACATTTGTTTGCAAAATCAGTATTTGTCCACGTGTAAGTACGATCTGTTTGTTAACATTATTTTTTAACATGGTTATGATAATCGTAAATTTAATTTGTGCGGTCAGTCGGGAATAATGGAATGCCGATCTCGATTATTTTTCTCCATTAACATATATAACATTTCAATGAATACCGTAAATATATATGATTTTACTTTCTGGTAATTCCCTTTTTTTCGTTTTGTCAAATTAATTCCTAAAGATTAAAAAACTGAGAGTTGCAGGATAGGATAGGATAGGATTAGACTGAAATCACAGGATAGGATTGTGGAAGCAGGATTCACGATAGGATAGGATAGAATTGTCAACTTATAGGATAGCAGCACTGTATTCAGGAACAGCAGGTATGTATATATCCATCGATTTACTTACCAAAAAGAGGTCCAGGGGCCACGACGCTCACCTGAGCAATTGACTAGAAAAAAGCACATATCAGATCCGAACTGAAAGTTAACTGAGGGCGGGGAGGGGGAGGGGGCTTGAATTTTAACCCCCAGGGGGTCATGATTTGAACAAACTAGAATCTACAATACCTGAGGATGATTAACTATAAATATCACTAAGCATGGCTTTGAAGTACTTGAAAAGAAGATTTAAAAAGGTTTCCCTATATATTGCCATTTAAAACTTTTATCGGCCATTTGGCCCCACCCTACTCCCGGGGGTCATGATTTGAACATCTTTCCTGGCCCAGTGGTTCTTGAGAAGAAGATTTTTAAAGATTTTTCCTATATCTTCCTTTGTAAAACCTTTATTGACCATATTGGCCCAACCCTACCCCCGGGGGTCATGATTTGAACAAACTTGAATCTACACTACCTGAAGATGATTCCACATGAGTTTCATCTTTCCTGGCCCAGTGGTTCTTGAGAAGAAGATTTTTAAAGATTTTTCCTAAATATTCCTATCTAAAACTTTGATTGGCTATTTTGGCCCCACCCTACCCCCCGGGGTCATGATTTGAACAAACTTGAATCTACACTACCTGAGGATGATTCCACATGAGTTTCATCTTTCCTGGTTTTTGAGGAGAAGATTTTTCAAAAATGTTCCTATATATCCCTATGTAAAATTTTTATCGGCCATTTTAGCCCCACTCTACCCCAAGGGATCATGATTTTAATAAAGTTGAATCTACACTACCTGAAGATGATTCCACATGAGTTTCATCTTTCCTGGCTCAGTGGTTCTTGAGAAGAAGATATTTAAAGATTGTTCCTATATATTCCTATGTTAAACTTTGATCGGCCCAGTGGTTCTTGAGAAGAAGAGTTTTTAAAAATGCCATAAATTTTTCTCTGATTCATAATTATCTCCCCTTGGAAAAGGGCGTGGCCCTTCATTTGAACAAAGTTGAATTCCCTTAACCCAAGGATACTTTGTAGCAAGTTTGGTTGAAATTGGCCCAGTGGTTCTTGAGAAGAAGATGAAAATGTGAAAAGTTTACAACAACGACAAGGACAATGACGACTACAACGACAACGACGACTACAACGACTACGACGACAACGACAGACAACGGACAAATTTTGATCAGAAAAGCTCACTTGAGCCTTTGGCTCAGGTGAGCTAATAATATATAAAATATTTGTATGTAATTACTACACTACGCAATACCCTACATATTTCTTAAGTCTAACTGACAACAGTGATTACGATGTGCGTTGTTATAATCATTGTTTCATTAGATCATGGATTTTAATGTTAACTTTACTCTGTTATACAGGTGATAGTTTGACTGCTGCTCACAGTGGAATGAAGTTTTCAACAAAGGACCAGGATAACGACATCTGGAGTGGTCACTGTGCTACATACAGACACGGAGCCTGGTGGTACAGCAACTGTCTCGACTCAAACCTGAACGGACTGTACGGACAGACTGGTGGTTTTGGTGCTATGTTTTGGTTGAACTGGAAAGGATTTGAAGCATTAAAACAGACTGTGATGATGATCAGACAGAAAAACTAGAGAACTTTCATAATCAGATCTGACACATCATTACAAATCTGATTTATTTTATATTGACAAACAAAACAAACACTTTACGTTGTTTTCGTATTCAAGTAACATATTTTTAGACATTTAAGTTCCTTCTTCTTCAGTATTTCTAACATTGAGTTAAATTTTTAACAATCATGTTTTCTTCCTATTAAAGAATAAATGTTGTTTATAATAAAGGTGGTGGTTATAAGCAATAAAACCTCAAGGCAGACAATGCGTGTGTAAGTTTTACACTTCATATTTGCACACACAAATGTCTTTTTAACAGTAGTGTTAACTGTGCTACTGACAGCCACGTTTCTTTAGCTAAATTAAATTTAAACTTTTCTGCTATTAAATTATGAAATTAATCGGTAATTGTTTTAAATCTGTGATATTTATGAAACGCGACTGATTTAAATTGTGAAACTTACATGGATCTTCTCGCTTTATGTAAAGAATCATTCTAAATCAAGAGTAAACTTATCAAAATTACGCCATGTATTACTTTCATCATTATGTGTTTAAATGAAATAATTAAGACTGTTCATCTAAATTTCATATTAAAGTCAGAAAAATGAGTTTCGACCTATAAAATTCAATTATTTCTCTGTCTTGCAGTTTTTCTTTTAAATAGTTGAAAAGAATATAGTTAAATACAGGTAGTCATATATAATATGTTATAATGAATTAATTTTTAGATGCTTTTCAAACAAATTTTCTAACTGTTACATAAAACATAATGAAAAATCAATTTAAAATGTTTTTGATTCTTGATTCAAATGGAAAAAAAATCCGATTGTTCCATTAGTTGTCTTTAAAATAAAACAGGATCCGTGTGCCAACTTTGGTGTGAATCTCGGATATTGCCTCTTTTATAAATTTGAATTTTGTGGACCCATGAAGATGGAATTAGCGGAATGGGGACTGTATAATTATTTCTCTATATAGTGGAAGTGCATTATTTCTTTAAAAATCTTTTTTCCTGCTTTCTACTAAAAACAACAAGTTTTACGAAGCATTAAGTTATGATGAGTAAGGGTTCCTCTTCCAGGATTATGAAATCTGTGGCCTCTGGCTTGGAGGTTCTAGTGTTATGTTGGGGCATAATTGATTATATAGCCAGAAATTCTTTTTAAAAAATCTTCTCAGCTCCTTGTTATTATGTAACTAAATAAATAAATGGTCATGATCAGCAAGGGTACCTCTTCCAATGTTGTGAATTTCATGCCCCCTGCATCAGAGATTTTGGTGAACGGGGGAGGGGGTTGTTCGTTATGTACTGAAAATTTTCCAATTTTTTTATATTATTCTTCGTTCCTGTGTATTACGTAAATAAACTAATAGCATGGTTATGTTAGCAAGGATGCCCCTTCAAAAACCGTGGCTCCAGGTTTAAGGGTTTTGTTAAAAGGGGTCTCTATTGATTTTTAGTGAAATATGCAAATTGCTTGAAAATTTTCTCAGCTCTTCGGTATAATGTAAATAATCTACATATATGGTTATGGATATGATAAGCGACGATGGCTCTTCCACAACTGTGAAATTCCTGACCCAATTGTTAGGGGATTCTGGTGAAGGCAGTGGGCTTCTCGATTATCAAGTGAAAATGCATTATTTCTTTGAAAAGGGGAGGGGAGCTTCTTCCAGAATAGTGAGTTTCAATGCCTCTGGGTCAGAAATT